CGTGTTCCACCGTGTGAATCCTAACGGGGGAAATTAGCTTCGCATCCAATCGACCTTTCTGGTGGTCATTGAATGCGAAGGCTAGGTGAAATTCTCGGCACGCCCTCCTTATCAACTGAGCCTCTTCCGTCGTTAGGAACCCTTATACCCCTATCTTCATGGTATCCGCTATCTCATCAGGTATCCGGTGCCCTTCCGCTGCTCGCCTCTCCCTTATTATCTGCTGAATTTCTTCCTCCTTTTCCATGACCTCTTCCCTTGATGTTTCTACTAGAATTGAGACCGGCTTGGCTTTCTTCCCTACGAGTTTGTACTTTCGCACACTCCCTTCTGGGATCGTTCTCCTAAAAAATGAACGGTCTGGATTGGTCTTGCTACCTCCATGATACGTGGCTGGATACTGACTAACTTGCCATTCAGACAGTAGCCCTTTCGGACCTCCTCTTCGAATTCGGCAAGCGCTGTCGGGTCCACTCCTTCTTTGTGGTAATTGATAGCCTTAACGAGCTGTAACAAGTCGCGAATTTCAAGTACTACCTCCGACGTTTCCTTCCGGTCTTCCTTTGATTTGGGCAGGCTGGCCCCAAGCTCGACTTCCGCCTCCTTCTCTGCCACCATAACCCCTAGCACCTCATCCTCTTGCCTCCTTTTCTTCAGAGGCAGACCCATCTTGATCCACTCCGTCTTACTAAAAGCCTCCTCAATCATGATCTCTACTCTTTCCCCCATACCTTCCATCTGTGCGAACGCCCCTTTTGGCGCACTATCCTCGAACGTTGCGACCATGTTGCCAATTTGCCCTCCGGGGCTCCCCTCCGGTCCCAAGGAGTCGGAGGAGTTCTCCGCGGCCGGTCACGGGGTCCTCTATATCCACCATGTACGTGCCATCATGCAGATGCATACCTATTATCTCTACGTTGGCGCACCATGGTCTCTCGAGAATTATGTCATGGTCCATCTCTTCCATCACGGTGATCCGCTGGAAGGACCAGATCGATTCCCTGATCCCCGCCTTGACTGCGCATATCGTGACGTATCCTGCAAAGGGAATTTCCCTGTCGGCTCCCCGGATACTCCCCGTCACGTCCTTGTTTACAGTGCAACCAGTAATTGTTGCAAAGTCTCGTCGTATGAGGGTAATTTCCACAACCCCGTCCACTAATGCATGTGTGTGGTGACCCCGTACCGGTAGGCTTAGACGGATCTCTGCAAAGGCTTTTTCCTGGTCCTCTAGATCCCCTGGAACCCCCTGGAGGTTGGAGACCCCTTGCGGTGCCTCAGCCTCTTCCGTCTCCTGCTCCTGTGGTTCCGGGGCCTCCTCTATTTGTACGCGTCTGCGCGTCAGCAGTTGTCTGAGACCCTTAAGCAGTCTCGGGCTTGCTTGCAACATGGTTTGAAATGATACGGATACCATGGTGCCTAGGAGTTTGCTTAGGTTGTCATCTATTTCTGGCAGGGTTAGAATCGAGATCTGATACTTGAATTTCTTTTTTGCCGCCGTAACCTTGTCTACCGGCTCCTCTTCCCTTGTCTTTCCATAAACCTTCTCCTGTTCCCTGGTCTCAGTTTCGCCTTGATCTGCGCTGGTCCCCGCAACCTCTTCCATTACTGTATCTTGAATAAGTTTCTTCTCCGCGCCTGCCCGCCGGGTGGTGATATTCACCCTATCCTGCCCATTGCCTTCTAGGATGAAATTGGCTTGTGGTTCGCGTCCCCTTGGTTGGTCCCAGACAATGTCAGCTACCGGCTCCGCTTCTACGACAGCTATGTCCAGATTATTCAGGAGGATGACGGCACGCCGCATCCCTCCTGGCGAATTCCAGTTTATGCGCTCTCCCTGAGGCCCACCTTTGTGGGACCTGCTGCATCTTTGCTTAATGATGTCATGATTGAGTCTGGGGCAAGTGCGCATGAAATGTCCGCCCATTGTGCAATACCTGCACTTCTCGTTGGCCGGATCCCTCCTGCCATACCCCCGATTTGCTACTGCTGCTGGAACTACGGCCTCTTGGGGCGGGAGGGCGGGTCGGGACACCTCGCCTGCATTACTAATAGCGTATTTTTCACTCTTTCTATCTTGCTATCAACCCCGTGTACTCGTTCATGCAGGCTTTCTATCACCTTCTTCACCTTATCCCCCGTTTTCCCGGTCAGATCTATAACCTCTCCTTCCTTAAGCAGGTCTAGCGTCTCAGTCACCACCGTTTTTTCTGCGAGGTCTGTTACCGTCCTGAAATCCACATCCCTTGTGTATTCGAACTTACTAGTCTGCTGGTAGGCCGATCAAATCTTATCCTTGTCGAACTCGGAGAACTGCCTGAGGAAATACTTACTCATTGTACGGTCCGTTACCCCGGGAATTCGTAGTGCCACTAGAGTAAATGCCCTTAGGAAGTCGTTGTAAGAGTCGCATAGTTCTTCCTTTGGACTGCCGCCAATTCGGCTTTTGTTGCCATTTTCTCTGCCTTCAGGTACTTCCTCATCATCTCGTTCTGGGTCTCTTTCCAGGATCCACTAGAGGCGACAATAGCCATAATGTCCCTTCCTAAGCTCAGCAACACGTGCTGCTCTAAGTGATCCATCTTTTCTTCCTCAGTCCATTTCAGCAAGGCTGCCAGGTTCTCGTAGTCTATCAGGAATTCCGTAATGTTTGCCCCGTCGAAGGTAAGTTTCTTCTTAGCATCCTCAAGATACCCCTGATTCTTATTCAGAGCTCGGGTGAGGGTGGCTACTATCCTCTTGAGACCCCCTTCCGAGCTCCCCGCTTCACCGGCCGCACTGGTCCCTTCTCCTTCCTTGCTATCCCTCTGCTTTTCCCCGGCCTTTGGCGTACCCTCTGGATCAAACCATCCTAACACTCTTTCTCTAAGAGTCCAAAGTCCGTCGCACCCCTTAGTTACTTTCGGCGTGGTGGGCAAACGGCTAGCACCACTATCCATAGCAGGCGGGGTTGTAGCTTTTTCGGCTTCTATGACCGGGGAGTCCCCCTTTTCCTTATCCTTCTTACTGGGCGTGCCCCTATGACTATTGCCTTTCCCTCCGAGCCTGACTTCGCCCTGACTGACCCTGCGCGCTTCTCGTGACCCTTCTCCCAAAAGGTCCCTTTCGTTCTTAGCCATCATCTCCTCGATAAGCCTTGCCTTATATTATGCGGTCCGTTTATTTTCTATTTCTGCCAGCTTACGACGTGCGCCCGAGACTTTCGTTTTCTTGGGTGTGGTTCCGTCAGAATTTTGAGGACTCGTCCTGCCGTTGTCCCCTTTTTCCCTGCTTTGTTGGGGTCCTCTTTTGCTTCCCCCGACTTTCCCCGAACTTTCCCCTGTCGAAAGGTCCTTTCCGTCTTCCCTGGTCCCCTCTGGTTTTGCCGACTCTCGATCCCTTACCGACCCTTCGTTTCGTTCTCCGCCTCTATCCGTGCCCTGACTCCCCTTGTTCCGTAACCCTTCGGCCTCCTCTTCTGACGCCATTCCTTTACCTACCCTGCACATGGAAAAAAAATTTGCGAAACGACCGGTTGTTCATGGCTTCCCTAGTTTACGGGCCCTAAGTTCCCCTTATTCTTACTTATTTCCATGTTTTCCCGCCTTATTTTTATCAGGACGACTTACCTGACACTTTCGTATCGGACGCTGTTCCACTTTTCTTCTGTCGGAGGGCTCGCCGCCGAGGTTTGGCATTTTGCCACTGCCATGCCCCAGTTCTTAGGACGGTGTCTGAAACTAGCGGCTTTCCTCTCGAGGGTAGCCTTTTCGACTTCCTGGCTCCCGAGCGCCCCAGCGTCCTTCAGCGCGGGTGGTCTTCCCAGTTTCTTCCTGCCATGTCCTCAGGTAAGGCGGAACTCCGACCACTGCGCCCTTGCTGACGGCTAGCTTCTCATTCTGGTTTCCCCTTTTTACTTTTTCCCTACCTTTTCCCGGTACTTTTCCTCACGCCGGACCCTCAGGCCTATCGTGCTCGCCAGGTTCTTCAAACAAGTCGGCCACCCCGGCAAGATAGTTTTCTCCCATTTCTATTTCCCCGATGATTATCGGTTCATATTCCCCAAATGCCAAGCGTAAAAACCCGAATATCACAGGCCTGGTTTCCCCAGAACGGCCCATGCCTGACCGACACATCGTAAAACATTTCAGTCGTCTGTGGCCGGAAGTGGTGAATCCAGACCAGGGTCGAGTCCACCAGGTCCCTTGCCCTCGAGAGGCTGCCAAATACCAAGTCCACCATGAAACGAGGCACTCGGCACCGCAGTCCTGTCATCGGGGCCCTAAACTCTCGCCATCCTCCTACCTCCACCCGGGTCCTCAGTCCCACATTCCTTCTCCCTCGCACTTCCTGGCCTATTCGGTTCAGTATCCTAGTAGCCCTTTGGAAGATCGGTAGCAGCCCATGCCCTAGCGCCAACTCCGTTCCTAGTATGTGCCATCCAACCTCCGGCAGGTATACGGTTCCTGTCATCTTTAGGTCGGTGTATAAGTCGTCCCCCGACCCTCTATCGAACCTCATACCACTCCACAAACACTCTACCATCATGAACGCCTGGTCTCTTCCCAAGGTCACAACTCTCCATTCAGTATCAATTCCTCGGACCATGTAGCTTGCCGGGAGCGATACCTCCCATCCACTTCCACTTTCGGTGGGTGGCCGAGGGTGCGAGGGCCGTCGCGATATCCGTGCGTGCTCATCGCCATTTGTTGATTAGCGGTCCCCTGCACAGTTTAAACAACAAGCGAGTTTTGCTTATTTCATCCATTCCTCGATCCCTGTCCGAGCAACTCTCCGGTCATGAACTCGATATCCATTTTTCTCTCTTATCCCCCTATCTTTCCCTGCCTCTTTTATCACTCTGCCCCTACTCCTGTCGGCTCATACAAACGGTACAGGTCATCCACGTAAGTCATTCCCCGACTTACCTCTCGTCGAACAACGCCCCATAGGACCCTGTCACTAACGACCGGAGCCCTTGGCCTAGTGGTAAATACGCCGCGCAGGATTCACAATACTTCATACCTCTGCTCTCCGTTGAACGGCCCCATCTCTAGGAAGGTCCGGTAATACTCTCGGTGAACCATCGCATCCTCAAACGTCAGGCTAGCGAGGTCGGCTACAGCCCTTCTGACAAGCTCCACCCCGCCTAACCTTTCCAGCAAAAAGGGCGACAAATTCATCCGATTGTTCTCACTAGGCAGCTGGAAGCTCCCAGCCATGGCTACCCTAAGGTTCGCCGTCACATCGTCCACTTCCGGGTCCGCGAATTCGAACCCTGCCTGCCACACTAGCTGCCAAGCCCCTTCAAACATACTTAACGGATCTTCCCCTGATGTGAACAGGACTCCGAACGCTCGCCACCCGTCCTCAGACATATACAACCGACCCTGCGCACGCACATGTCCCCGTGGGTCCGGGTTCCACTCCCCGTTTTCGTCCGCGCGCCATTCAACCCTCGTTACCAAGTAGACCGTGGTTTCCATGAGCTCTGCCCCGACCCAGTCCACCACCGGGTGCCAGCCTTCGCTCGCGGCAGGCAGACTAATTTCTATCCCGCCAGTCACATCCCTTGGCGGCTCACTGCCCGGCGGGCGGTCCTCAAGGAATGTCCTCCTTCGCGCCATCGCACGCCCGTCCTTGGTCTTCTAGTCCGCAAATCGCAATGATCCCTACAATGGCCAGATACCCCACTCCCTTATCTCAGTAGTATTCCACACTTGCCTGACCCGCGGCTTTCCCTGCTCCTAGTCGAACCACAGTACCTCGAACAGCTTAAACACATCGTCCACATAGCAAGGTGTCGCCGCTACCTCCCGGCGGATTATAGCCTCCCTGATTTCCGGAGCTACCTCTAATTGGTCGTACCTATCCATATTCAGGATGATGAGGACCTCCCAAGCTGTATCGCCATGGAAAGGCCCATACTTCAGCGATGTTTTGTAGAACTCCTCCGACAACCATGTATAGTATATGTGTACCCATTCCATAATGCTAGCTACTTCCACTACATGATCAAAACCCCCAAACCAGTCCACTACGAACTCGGGGACCCAGATCCTCTTTCGAAGGCAGGGAGGCCTAAATTCTTTCCATCCCCCCATTACGGCCCTACTGTGGACCTCATCCCATCCCTTATAGGCAAACCTCTTGCCCGCCTTCCAAGTCCTCGCCTCTGCTCCCTTCAGAAGCCACATCGGATTTTGCCCTGCCGCTAGTGTGGTGCAGAACAGATGCCACCCCTGTTCCGACAAGACGACCGTCCCGACCGATTCCACCTTTCCCTCTGCGATATCTTCCCATCCATCTTCCTCCCTAATGGGGTTCCAGATGCGTTCTATCCACAGATACGACAGTTCCGGTGTGATCTCAAGTCCGACCCAGTCACACGTCGCTCCGCTCCACGCGCATTCCGCCGGCAGGGGCATTTCTACTTCTCCTCTAATTCGCCTCGGTTCCCACCCTTTGAACGTGCAGTCCCACAGCTGGAGTCCCCGGGCCATTGTTCCCTACCTGCACATAGCCGACAACCCATTCCCCGGGTAAATCCCCCCTCTCTTTCAGAAGTCTCAATCTTCCATCTCGGCCTCGTCCTCATCATCACTGAAATCCTCCCCCCCATCAAGGAACAACTCTTTCGCCCAGTCCCCTCCAAACGGCCCCTTCTCTACTAACAGTTTAAAGAAGTCCTGCCGAGCGCACTGGTACAGCCTCAAGCGCATCATTGACTGGCATATTTGCCCCAACCTATCCCTGGTCCCGAAGACCGCATCCACCAGAAACGGGGGTAGTACGCACCTCATCGTCCTAAGGGGCCCTCTCATGTTCCCCCTGTCCTCGAGTTCCACCCGCACTTCTACTTTGTCCATTTCCATTTCCGCCCGCTGACAGGCCGCCCATACCACTTCTCGTTCTGTTTGTCCAAACAACTGGTTCGGTGTCGTGCCCAATACTAATCCTACCACCATTGCATTTTCCATTTCCTGGGATAGGTAGACCCATCCTCGGGCTTCCACCGTCCCCCGAAATTCTAAGTCCATCAAGCTCGGCGACAGTCTTATCAGGCTGACCTTAGTCCAGATTGTCTCTATCCAGAGGAACGCGTCTTTTTTGTCCAGCCTCACAGTTTGATAGGCTGGCTCCAGGTTTGTCCACGGTCCTTCTTCCGGGAGAACGACAGATACCCCATCCTTTACGTCTATGGGCATTTCCGGACCATTAGAATAGGGAGGAGACGAGAACCACCGCGCCATTCCGTTTTTTCGGCTCCGGTCCTGTTTTCATAAGAGAGCACCACATGGCCCCTATGGTCAGGCTGGTCCCCGCTTAACTCTAGATGAGCATTATTCCAGGCCTCTCATCCGGGTCTCCCTAATATTTCCCTACCCATTTCTCGAACACCATTGTCCCCATCGTACTCCCAATTGGTCGTCCCCAACCGGCGCTCCTTTCTTTGGTTCCATTTCCTTTCGACTCCTATCCTGGCTCCTTTCCATCTTCTCTCACTCGTGCGGACTTAGACAGGAGATGAGAATAGACTTAAAAGCTCAATCCCCTTCCCAAAAGCCTCAAGCAAGCCTTACAAAGGGAGACACAAAAATGAAAAGTCAGGCAATCGTCGCACACAGGCCGGTCATCTCCTCACCGACCTTTTTTCCGGAAGTGGTCTCTCCACTGGTACTATCGGTAGAGTTTTATCCCATACCTCAAGCGCAGCTCAACCGTCGCGAGCGCGGTACCCAGGCTCCGACAAGGCGTTAGCCCTTTCCTTGTACCCAGAATACCCCATCCCGTCTTGCCGCCTTGCACATCCATACCGACACCGAGGACTACCCCGTGTGCCTAAATATAGGGACAAAGTCATCCGTCCGGGCATTCACTTCCATCGGTCCGACAAGAATCAGCCTTTCCCAAACCATGCTACGAGAAGCTACTAATCGTCTCCGAGGCTTCCTCCTTGCCCCATATGCAGTGGTCCCCCTGCCGTCTGCCGACAAGCAGTCGTCCCGCCTGAAGACGTTTCACACCCCACCTGGGCAAGGTCATCGAGCTATGCTCGGACCGCTCGGGTGAGAATTCTACTAATCAGCCGGCGAGGCCAACTCCTGCCTGACAGCCCGGTGGCCCGACCCCCACACATAGAACCCGACGAACTTCAAAGAGATCGACGTTTTGCAACCCGCACCGGCCGGTGCAAACCAATCCTTTCCTTTCGAAAGGCAGGACGCTCAAATCCCCATCATGCAAACACAAGTCCCAAGCGGGACACACATAGTACAAGTGCGCTTCCTACCCATACCTCTCAACTTTTCTCTCGGGACTATGTGTGTCACTCACCCCTAATTTCCATACACAGTGTCCAGTTCCTTTTCGTGAGCATCTTCAAAGGTGAGATAGTTTTCTATGGAGTCTAGCAACTCCCTTCATTCCCTTATCTTCGCTTGTGTGTCCGTTCATCGGGCAAGATTGTTCCTTCTCGATTATCCATTATGTTCATATGGGGTTCCTTCAAGCATTTCAAGTGTAGTGCAAGGAGCCCGTTGGGCTCCAAAGAAGAGAGGAGAAGGCACCCATGTCGGTCGGATCACTCCGCTGCGGGATTTTCATCGGAACCCGGACTAGCCCGGAATCCCAACCGCCTTCTAGGTAACCGGAGCCCTTCTTTTACACGAAGAGGAAGGGTCGACCTGCGGCTTGCCGAAGGCTTCCCCGGTCTGACGAACATCAGCCCGAAGGAAGGAGGACTAGAGTCGCCCCACAAAGGAGACGGCTAACCAAGTGTGTAGCATGCATGTTATTCCACCAGGCGTGGCTTTCCCATTCGCCCAGCCGCCCTCAAAGCTGATTCTCTCAAGGGATAGAGTGTACACGGTCATGCGTCGGGCGCCCCCCTCGAGATCGTAGGGGTGAGTTAAACCCATATTCGGCACCTTCACCATTTTTGTAGGGGCCGTACCCTGAAGGACTTTCGAGCCTAAGTCGACCCCACTGCGGGTCCCATTTGGCTCGACCCGCCCACGCTCACGCTCAGAGCGCGGGTCGTTCGTCCCAGGGGCACCCCCCGCTCTCGCGTTTAGATGATAGCTCTTTGATCATTCGTGACGTTTTCTCGATTCGTTTGAGTGTGACCAGGCAATTGCTCCTTCCAATACGCAGGCAGTCCAAGGAGTACGTTGAAGATTCATCTTCTTTTCGTGTGTAGGCCAACCGTCATCCATTGGGCCACACACCTTTTCACTAAGCGTAGAAGTTCAAGAAGGTTTTTATAGCATCCTCGGGGTGCGATGGCGCCGCCCAACCCCTAGCCCCTATTATTTTTTTGCTTAAGGCACTAACATTGCATCCACCTATTCATGGTCGCCCTTAGTCTTTTCGGGCTTTTGCAATTCACACAAGAGCGTCACCCCATTCATTCATCATACAATGTCACATCCGATAGTCTATCATTCATCCAAGCCTTCAATCATCAAGCCCTTCCCACATCCATAGTTTACGCAAAGTCCGTGTCCTTTCCTTGTAGACTTATCCCACCCTTGTCAGCATCCCGCGGATCCAGTCCTGCTCAATCCGTCTTAAGGGACTTACCTGCGCAAAGCCACACAAAGCAAAAGACCAATGTACGGTCCCCTTCGGGGTCAACATATCGCCCCTCCCGCAAGCCTAAGTTCATTCCTCTTTCAATGCCCCTTTGGTTGTCTTTCCCATCCCTCAAGCAAGTCATGTCCTTTCCTTAGTCATGCAGTCGGGGAGGATGGTTGAGTCAAACTGACCTGGTCTCAAGCCTTTACTCCTTCAATCTTTTCAAGAGTTCCCTCCTTTCCAAGTTTTTCGCAAAGATCCTGTTTTCCTTTCCTTCTTGGTGGCATAAGGGGCCGGCAGCCCTCCCCTTGCCCTCTCTCTCCACCAAGTGAGGACCCAGTTCTTTTACCGTTCGTTCCCTTACAATGTAACAAGTGAGGAAAGGTTAGTCATGTACCAAGGAAAAGGTCAAGGGGGAAGAAGAGGGAGAGCGGGAGAAAGAAAGAGAAGGAGAGAGAGGGAGAGGAAGAGAGAGAAGAGGAGGGAGAGAGAGAGAGAGGGAGAGGTCGAGAGAAAGAGAGAGAGGGAGAGAGAGGGAGAGAGAGAGAGAGAGAGACTTTCCTATCCTAATCGACCTCACTCCTCTACTCAACATTACCGGCCTACCTAAGGTCCCTCGTGCCCCCTTGGAACCCCCTACGACCCTCAAGTGAGTTGGGGTTATGGTGGAGGAGGAAGGTGCAAGGTGGTAGGCTATGGTGGATGGGTGTGGGTGATGGAGGAGGAAGAAGGTGCAAGGTGGTTGGCTATAGTGGATGGGTGTGGGTGATGGAGGAGGAAGGAGGTGCAAGGTGGTTGGCTATGGTGGATGGGTGTGGGTGATAGAGGAGGAAAAAGGTGCAAGGTGGTTCGCTATGGTGGATGGGTGTGGGTGATG